GCAAAGGTCTGTAACAAATTGGTCAGTATACAGAGGTGGTTCACATAAGGAGCTAGACCTGCTGTACTGGTATGTCTGGTCTATGAAAATTAGGTCAAATTAAGGAGATGGACAGGGTAGGGAGGTGGTCAACCATGGAGGTTCTACTGAATTAATTGAAGGAATAAATAAATGGATTCTTGCCTTATGAATTATGAGCGTCCTGAGTAGCATTCTGTGAATTGTTTGACCAGCTAAATTCCTAGACTTTGGCAAAGTGAATGGACTCTTCAAATGTACACTCTTGTTTTTCATTATTTGGAACTAAATACCTAAACATGCTTGCATGTGGATTTTTTCATTATAAAGATTTCATATTTCTTTCCTATTTCCATGCAGTGGCCAGTTTGGCAAAGCCTGGTACTTTTGCTGGCAATGATGCAATTGTAGCCTTTGCAAGAAATCATCAGTTGAATGTGGTGATTCATCAACTTAATGCCCCTTTGTGGCAGGTAGGTCACCTATTCAAGATTTTATCCTAACCTCTTATTTAGAAATTAGCTTTCAGGCTATCCTAAGATGGTGGGATTCAACTTGTGACATTGAACTATACTGAATGACTTGGACTGTGAACCTATAGAAACATTCATACATAACTTGACAGGTGCATAATCAATGTTTTTGTATACAAATATACACAAATATATCTATACACACATATATAAACCCATATATCTCTATATACACTTATGTATCCCTGTGTATTATTGTTATTACAATATGCCACCTGTATATACTCCTTTATAAATTGCTCAGTCATAGCCTTTAATCATTTAAAAAATCAAGTTTGTACAGATGTAATTTACATATAGCAAAATTCACCCTTTTCTAAGGTGTACGGATCTGTGTATTTTGACAAACACAGTGATGTAACCACCACCGCTATCAATGTGCAGACCAGTCTGCTCTTGCAGAAGTTCCCTCCTGGCCCTTTGCAGTCACTAGTCTCCTCTCATTCCCTGCCTCCTGTAACCATTTGATTTGTCTCTTATTTGCCTTTCCAGAATGTCAGGTAAATGGAAGGATGCATCCTTTTGTTGCCTTGCACAATGTCCTTTTAATAAAATTATACTATAGCAAAATTAATTAGATGCTCTGTGGGATGGTGAGGAATTTACAGGCATATCATTAGCAGAAGTGAAACAGGATCTGTGTGTATTCTTTAGGGCAGTGTTGCCAGGTGTACCAACACCAGGTAGTGCTATCGTATTTTTGTGGGGTTCTCTCTCTTAGGGTGATCTTTGAGCCAATGATACTGGTTGTGCTTTTATTCCAGTTTCTTGTCATTAAACTTAACAGTGTCTAGCAGAAGTTATCAAAATTATTTGACTGTATAGCATAATGACCCTAATCTTAAAGGAAAATACTCAGTGCTAACTCAGTAACCATACCTGGCCTTTTCCTCTGTTCATGGCTTTTTTAAAAGTTTCTTGTTACCTAGGTAGTTGTGGAAGAGAATTCTGCATAGATTTTTTTCTCCAATTTATTTCTGTAGTGTTCTCTTTCATAAATGGCTAAACATTGAAAGTATATATTCTAAAATAAATACATTTTATTTCTATTGGATCTCCCCCATGTCTTCCTACCCCAGGAAAGTCTTTTTTTTTTTTTTTTTTTTTGGCTGGGATCGAGTTTGAACCCACCACCTCCGGTATATGGAGTGGCACCCTACTCCTTGAGCCACAGGTGCTGCCCTTCCCAGGAAAGTCTTATAAAATTTAAGAACTGAAACTGCATTGGTTGCTACTGTCATGGATAAGAGCTCTTTTGTCTATAGTGAGTAGGTTTATTCCTGCAACACAGCAATACTGAAACCTACATTTTTTTTCAGGTTACAAATGGTTATGTGCTTTTGTGAATAATCTAGATGTGTGTAACACAGAAAATGAAAGTCACAGTTAATTTATTAACAACATAACAATAGTCACAGTACACAATGACTATTCTTTCAGTTTTTTAAAATTTATAATCTATCTATAATATTGTGTATGTAAGCATTTTAGGGATTATGTTATTCAGAGATTCTGATAACTCATTTTCTTTTCTGGTATTCTTGGGAGACAAATTGCGCTATCTCTAGTTGTATGTGTTTAAAGCAGACTCTTCAGTTTGAGACCCAGCTGCTCTACTGGAGAAACTTCCCCATTTCTGACATCTAGACCGTATAGTTCCTGTTTGTTCCATTGTCTTTGCTGTGTTTCTAGGCCACGGATACTGTTTAAATTAATGGTAGCATGTTACTCCCTGTGGCTTTCAGTGAAAACAAGAAGGTGCTGATGTTTTGGATTTTTTTTAAGAGACAGTTACCAGGCTTTTTAAGGGACAGTGTCAGAATTAGAGTTTCTATGGAGGTGGTGATTTTTTGAGGGATTTTTTGAGGGATTTTTTGAGACCTTAGGGCTTCTATATTATATAACTCTAGGGAGCCCCATTCTTTTGCACTGTGCTCAGGTGTGCTGTTCACATAGAATTCCTTGCAAGTGGTGCCTCCAGGGTTGTGCAATATGGCAATACTACTTTCCTGCGTATGATTTTGTTTTGAAGTTGGTAAAAGTGAGAGATTTGGGTTTGTTGTTGGTAACATTTCTCACATATATGGTTGATGGAAAATGCTGTTTTTATTTTGATGATGGGGTGGATTTACCATGAAGCTAATGTAGCATAGGTGTCAAGCCCCTCATTTGTATGGCTCCCTTTTGAGGTCTTGGGAAAGGGTCTAGCAATTTTATATTTGTAATTTTGTATTCTTTTCCTCAAAAAAGGCTATTGAGGCTCGGAGCCTGTGGCTCAAGTGGCTCAGGCGCCAGCCACATACACCTAAGGTGGCGGGTTTGAATCCCCAGCCCGGGCCCACCAAACAACAATGATGGCTGCAACCAAAAAAATGGCTGGGCGTTGTGGCGGGCGCCTGTAGTCCCAGCTACTTGGGAGGCTGAGGCAGGAGACTCGCTTGAGCCCAGGAGTTGGGG